GACCTAAGTGTTAACGAGATATTGATACTATATGACCCAGGTCTTCCTTAAGTGTTGTTGTAAGTAAAGAGAGGTGTGATTTCCATGATGCTAAGTGACCTCGAACTACACCATGATACTTATTGTTTGCTTGAATGTTGCATTTGCTCTTGACTATATTGTATCATGCTTATATGTTGGATGAATATAGTATAACCTGGTTATTTATGTAGCACTGAGCTTGTGAGCTCAGCGTATGGAATGTGTTTCCATGCGTAGGTCCTTAGTTGCCAGATCGAGGAGTATGTCGCCGATTTCAGAGCTTTCCAGACTTGATTGCTTTCAGAGATACGTCTTGAGTATTTTAGTGGGCATATACTGTCATAGATCCTTATTTGTATTTGAGTCGTAAACTCTATATTTTGATTTCTAATATATTTTGGAGACTTGTGTCAGGAACTCCCTGTAGTTCAAATACTTATGTTTTGTATTTACATGGTATTCAAATTTTATGGATATTATTTGATGAAACGTTTTAAAAAAATGGTTAGTCACTTATGTGGTTCTGTGTGACATCATAATTCAATGATCTTCGGGTCAAATTGGATTAGGGTGTTACACAAAAAAATTCAATAACATAAACTAAAACAAAATTTAAATATTATAAATAATTAAAATAAATACACATAAATTAAAAAAATACATGTTTAATTTCTGGAGCAACATCGGCGGAGAGTTACATCGACGGAGAGCTGCATAAAATTATTGTCCAAAAATTTAATGTAGATCTTCCCTCTATCCAAATCGTCCTTTTTCGGAATAAGTCCAAGCAGCTCCTCACACAAGGTTGACCAGTCTCCATAAGCCATACCGGTAATAGGATTTCAATAAACGGGCAACCCAAGATGGTATGCGCCATCTTCAAGGGTAATAGTTGTCTATCCACAAGGAAAATGAAACTTGTGAGTCTCTGATCTCCACCATTCAAGCAATGTGTATATCAATGGAGGGTGCAACTTCGTACCACCAATAGGGATGGCAACGGGCCGGGTTCGGGCCGGGTATTGGTCCCCCCGTTCCCGTCCCCGTTTAAAAAACCGATACCCGTCCCCGTTTAAAAAACCGCAGAGATTTAAACGAGGATCCCCGTCGGGTAATCGGGGAAAACCGCGGGGAAACGGGTATCCCCATTTAGCATAAATGATTATTTAAACGGGTATTGGGCCGGGTATTGGGTCGGGTATTGGGCCGAGAATCGGGCCGGGTATATATATATATTTAAATTAAATATATAAATATATATTTTTTATTTAAATTAAATTTATTAATATTATATATATATATATATATAATTATTTTTAATATTTATCGGGTCGGGTATCGGGGCGGGTAATCGGGTAATCGGGGCGGGGATTACCAAACCCGTCCCCTTCCCCGTTTAAAATAAATGGGTTTTCCCCGTCCCCGTCCCCGTCCCCGTTTATCATCCCCGAACCCGACCCGTTTAATTCGGTTTTCGGTTTTCCCCGTCGAGTTCGGGTTTTTTTGCCATCCCTAACCACCAATTACAATGCCAACATAACCATAACTGGCTTCGTGCAAGTATGGAATAATATTGTTATTAAGGGGCGGGAAACGGTTGATAAAGCACATCAACATACGTTCATATCTCTTCAAATAAATAAATAAATATATTTGAAACAAACAAACAAATAAATAAATTCAAAATAACTAAATAAATTCAAAATAAACACATAAATAAATAAATCCAACATAATTAAATAAATAAATTTGGAATAAACGAAAAAATAAATTATTCAAAATAATTAAAAATTTTAAAACAAATCAATAAATAAAAATTACCTCAAAATTATCATGTCAATAGGTGCATACATGCAGAAAATCAGCCCTCAGTAGTCTCTCCATAATAATATGAGAGAGAATATTTGAGAGAGAGTTTTTTTTAATGAAGGTGTGAGGAATTCGAGTGACCTATTTATAGTGGTCCTCGCACTGCCACCGAAGCGATATAAATGGTACCTCGCGCTATATGAAGCACGAGGTTCTTTTCAAAATTTAAATTTCAAAATTTTCGCGAACGATAATTTCCCAATATCTCATGGACCTAGTATTCTGGGAAACACGAGATATTAAATAATCATATTAAATTGGATAATATGAAAGGTACATGATACTTCATGTCATGTGAAATGTGAGACAATGTTCACGCGCTAAGTAGGACGCGAATTAGTCCTGCGTGTGCACTTTAGGGATTATTTTTCTAACAAATTTGTTAAGAGGTAATTCTTAAAAAAAACTAAATGGAGTTTTTTTAATATAATAACGCCTCAAATAAGCACCTCCACTAATTCAAAGGCCAGCTTTGCTTTGCTTGCTAAATAGAAAATGTATAATTAGTAAATACTTTTATTCCCAGTCAAGCATTCTTTAAATATAAATTTTAGTAGATTACTCACATGACTTTAATTATGGGAGGATTACAATTTAATCATCAATCTTTTAATTTTTTAATTAGTCCACTTAAATATTTAAATGATGTTAATTAAGCCACAAACTACTAATATTTAATGAAAAATTTGTTGGGACAGTTAAAATTTTTGTTATAATTACACATTTATAGATAAAATATATAATTATAATAAATTTTAAACTATCACACTTTTTTCTCTCTTAACTATTAATGGGTGGTAATTTAATTAACCTCATTTAAATAGTTAAAATTTAAAAGATAAATTATAAGATTAGGACCGTTCATATAGTTAAATGATCACATATATATTTTATATTATAAATAAAATTAGTGTATTTCCCGAAAAATCATCGGTGATCGATATATTTATCGATCTAACACCGGTTAGATTATATTTCCTGATCTAACACCCGTAGCAGTAAAGTGCGCCCCCTGAACCACGCTATATGCTGATTTGGCGCCACGTGGGGTATAGCGCGCCCTATGTACCACGCTATACGCTGACATGGGTTACACGTGTGTATAGCGCGCCCCCTGATCCGTGCTATACGCCACGTAGGGGTATAGCGCGGATCAGGGGCCGTGCTATACGCCACGTAGGGGTTAATTATATTTAACGCAGTCCCTGGTCCGCGCTATATCTTTTATCTGAATAATTACATATAGCGCGGTGCAGGTACCGCGCCTTATATGATATACCCTCCTCCGCCGGTTAAGTTTCTCACATCTCCTCGCATCTCTCCTCTCAACTTATAAATTAATACAACAATTCCGTCACGAGTAATAATTCTGGTAATCTTCTCATATTTGATTTAGAAGTTCGTGCGATTTTTCGTTATAAGGTAATTTTGTTATAATTTTTTAATTATACTTATTGTTTATTATCATTATTTGAAAAAAATATTATACTAATTATTTTCAATTAATTTTTATATTTGTAAAATTGAAAAGCGGGAGCATACGTCGAAATAGTTTTGCGGTGCAGGTAATAATATAAAATTATATTATTTAAATTATTTATGTTGATGTGTAAAAAATTTATTGTGTTATATTTTCGTTCATATATAATTTATTCAATCATGTTTGTTTCAGTTATTTTTTTGTAAATATAATATTGCCGCACTTTTAAACTCAAAGAATGGCGCGACTTTCAGTTATTATTTATTATGATGGTAAAATTCGAGAAGATGAAACCGGCGTTGTTTTCGTATCAAATGAGCTTGTTAAAATATCATTCAAGAGAAACATAACTCTTGAGGAGCTGATAACGAAAATTTCGAGAAAGATTCATGTTGGAAGTAGTAGAAGAATGTCGTCGTTGCAGTACAGATTTCCAACATCATTGTTGCCATTAACTTATACAGCGTTCAAACTTTTGAACAATGATGATGTTCAAATGATGGTTGAAGCTCAAAGTAATTATTCAGACGCCGTTATTGAGATGTATGCTCATTTTGTTCAAGTGCGTACTATTCGGAGTCAATCATTAAGCTCCCACTATGGGCTGGCTGAACAAGTTGATAGCCCGACTACAGTAATGTGTAATGATTTTAATGCCATAATGGGGAGACATTCATCCGCAACTCCTTACGATATGTACCGAGGTGGGTCCACGAACAATTCGTATGACAACACTGCGTCCAGTTCAAGGGGAAGACATTCATCTGCAAATTTCTTTTACCTTAATATGGAGATGTCATCGACGCAACAATCTGTGCAGTTTCAATTTGACACGATGGCTTCAAGCTCCATGGGAGGCATTCGACTGCGAGCTTTTTGGATCTTAATGTCGATATGCCTTCTAGTTCAAGGGGAAGACATGCAAGTAGTAGGTTCTTCGACCTAAATGTGGAGCGCATGGAGGAACCATCATCTCCACCAGAAGAACCGCTTCGTGAGCCTAGTGCGGATGATGCTGAGACCGGACTATTCATTCACCCAGAATCATTGCAATTCAACTCCGATGATGATGATGTAGATGAAGTTCCAGGAAATGTGACACAAACTGACCCCCTCCTGCACACATGTATGAAGCGGATCAGGGGCCGCGCTATACCCACTTGTAAACTATATCAGCGTATAGCGCGGGACAGGGGGCGGGCTTTACTGCTACGGGTGTTAGATCGAGAAATATAATCTGACCGATATTAGATCGGTAAATATACCGATCACATTTTTCGGGAAAAACGACAATAAAATTGAGGTAATGTTCTAATACAAACTTTTGTAGCATAAACTGAATGATAAACAGAGAAGGTGATAAGAGGGGGGGGAACACTAATTTTAATAGATTCAACATGGCGAATGATAGAATATATGAAATAATGTACTTTTTGTCAGCAGGAAGGTTCAATGAATAAAAAATTGAGCAGTTGCAGCACTTGAAAAACGTGATGAAAATGTGCATTGAGATGTCAAGCATCAGCAACTTCCTGGAATTATCAAAAGAAAACAACAACAATTGTTTAATAACGATGTTTGGATGTATATAATAATCAAACCCCAAACAGGAGGAACTCAGCCTATTCAGTTCCTCTGTAGCAACAAAAGCTTGATTACCTTTCTGGGTTGAATCTCCGACACAAACATGTACTGTGAGAGCGGTTCAGAATTTGATTTCAGCCTCTTAGAGTCTATTCGTCAGTATCTTCTGGAAGATGATTTCGATTCGATTCCAGATCCAACACCGTTCGTTGCGAATCCAGCAGAAAATGATGCAATTGATATCGATCACTGGATAAACTTTGATCAGTTGTTTGACGTGGCGGAGGACACGGTGGCCGTTAATAACGTTTCGTTTTCCCGTTCCGAAGTGACTTCTGAGATATCGGAGACTACTCCGACTGCGAGTGTCTCTGAATCTCACGGGCCGCCGAAGAAGGTACATTATAAGGGAGTTAGGAGAAGGCCGTGGGGGACGTATGCGGTGGAGATAAGGGATCCAAAGCGAAACGGGGCGAGGATCTGGCTTGGTACTTACGAGAATCCCGAGGATGCTGCTCTCGCTTATGACGCAGCGGCTTTTAAAATGCGAGGTGCGAAAGCCAAGCTTAATTTTCCCCATCTCGTCGGCTCCGATCTGGTGGAGCCTGTTAGAATAACCAATAACAAACGAAGATCCCCGGAGCCGTCTTCCTCTTGTTCATCGATTCAGTTGCCGGCATCTCCGTCGTCCACGGTGACATCGGATGACAGAACTCTGAATTTGAAACGGAGGAGGAATGAGATTAATCGTCCGATTAAAGCTGAGTTTGAACCAGACATGTATCAGTTGATGCCAACTGACTTTTGATAAATTGATATATGCTAATAATTGAATTGTACATTTTTTATTAAGAGAAAATAACTTCAGTGACCAAAAATCCCATATAATATACGATTTTAACCAATTTTTTTGGATTTGTCAAAATGACCAACAAAATCGCAATGCGATCGCTAATTCGCAACGTGATCTCCATTATCGCAAATTCGCGTTGCATTTTCGCAATGCGATAGTTGAAAATCGCGTTGCGATGGTCTACAGTATCGTTGCGATTTTCCCAATTCGCAATGCGAATAAGTAAATCGCAACGCGAATTGGGAAAATCGCAATGCGAATAAGTAAATCGCAATGCGAATTGGGAAAATCGCAATGCGATACTGACTATCGCAATGCGATAATAAAAAATCGCAACGAGATACTTACTTTCGCAACGCGATACTGACTTTCGCAACGCGATAATACATAATCGCAATGCGATTTTCAAAGCGCCATTAGTATCCTGGCCAAGTATTTTATTTTTAAATTCCAAACATGAATATTAATATATTGGAACACTGAACTGTCCACAGTATATCCCGTAATCGCAACTCATAACCTAAAACCTAAAATCACAACTCAGTCCCATCTCCATCTCACACTCTCTCACCCATCTCCGACGAAATCCGTCCCCATCTCCGGCGAAATCCGTCTATCTCCATCTCTCAGAGCCACCCTCACAATCAGAAATGGAAAATCAACCAAATCAACCAACGAGGGTTAGTTTTTTTAATTATTTTCTTTTTGAAATTTTTGCATTATTATTAGGTTTTTCATATTGAAATTGATGATAAGTTTACTGGTAATTTCAATAATAGATTAACCATTTCACTTAGATTGCTTATTAAATCAACCAAGAATCGCAACGCAAAATGCAAATCGCAACGCGATTTTAGTTTCGCGTTGCGATTCTCTCGTTGCGATAGTCATTTTCGTGTTGCGATTTTCATTTTCAGAAACTATTCTTCTTCTGCAAATTGAAACTTGAATGAATTGCATTACTTCAACCAAAAAACAAAGACAAATACGAAATTCACAGTGTTGCATATTTAAGTTTGAAGAATAAACTACTACTATTTATGTTTATTATTGTTTTTGGTATATCTTCACAGTGTAGTTTTTGGTATATCTAATTTAGTATGTTTATTGTTTTTGTAGAACTTTTATTCGGCTCAATTGACCTTGAGAAATAAAGTCAGCCTGGCCAAAACAATTGCGTCGAAGCTTTCACCTGCACAAAGAAAAATGTTTGAGGATACATGCTTCGGGCCATGGCTGAAAGTACAACATCCCGGTGGAGATGCGATGTTGACACACCTGTTTCTTCAAACCATGACTAGCGATCTACCAAAGACTATACAACGTCGTGATGAAGAGATATGGTTTGATTTTCCACCGGCGTATACGTGTTTTGGGCGGGAGGAGTTTTGCTTAATCACCAGTCTACGCTTCGGACACGATGATGTAGGTCGGTACACTAGACACATTACCCGCCCATCATGGCTATCCCGGGTTTTTCCTGAGCTAGAGAGGCCGAGTCTACACGTAGAAGACCTGACAAGATTTTTGAATAATAAAGATGGTTTTACTCGGATGGATGACGTCGACGTTGTCCGAGTATGCCTTCTAATTCTTTTGCATGCCGTCTTTTTAGGCAGAGATGCCAGACAACCTATTCCAAATGATCTAATCAAATTGGTAGAAGACCTAAATGCATAGAACCTGTTTCCGTGGGGCTCGTATTTATGGAAAGCTACATGGAATAAGTTATCGTCTGCCTTGGATGATCGAAAAAGTTTGCATGGCGATGGTTCCAAATACACTTTGACAGGCTTTATTTGGGCCTTTAAGGTAAGAATTTTTATATGATGTTTCCAAAATTATAAGTAATTATTTAACAATTACTAATGTTTGTTATTATATTGTTTGTAGATTTGGATATTTGAGGCCTTTCCCGCCATGAAGACATATGCAATAAAAACTTCAAATGATATTCCCAGGGCTATTTCCTGGAAGAGGAAACGGACCTTGCAATGGGAAGATTTACTACGGTATACGACAATAAATAATGTAAGTTAACATAAATACTACCATATGTTTATAAACAAGTTATTACTAGTACACGTTTAACTTTGTTTGAGCTTTTATATTGTTAGGAGGCCAACACTCCTCTACAGAGGCTGACACCCACGGAAGCTGAGCTTGCCACTGATTGGTGGCAAGCTAGTAAGCGTTTTTTTGATGGAACGGTTGATGAGCAGCCTCCACTTCGGGAGCCATCACCTCGCCCAGAGCTATCACCTCACCCAGAGCCATCATCTGATCGACCCGGCTATACACCTCCACAACGACAGCCATCACCTATTCTGTCACATCATCGAGCCTCTTCTCCACCATCACCGCAAGATAGGCGATCGCCAAAGATGCCAAGACGTTTATCTCCCTGTTCTCCACCTCCACCTCAACGGGATGAGTTAGGGGAGTTACGTGATGAGGTCAATGCCTTGCGTGAGGAGGTCGGTACTTTACGCAAAGACGATGGTGCATGGCTTGTTGAGGTGTCTACATTACGCGGTGAGGTAGCCGCTCTACGTGAGATGGTAGCATCGTTGCAGAATAAGGTTCATACTCTACGCAACGAGGTAAGTTTAAGATTTTTCATACTCGTAATTCATTCGGTTGCTGCCAATACTGCTAAACTGTTTTTGTTAGTATTTGTTTTTGGTTTTGTTTTTGGTTTTGTTTTTGTCTTTTGGTTGAAGTAATGCAATCCATTCAAGTTTCAATTTGCAGAAGAAGAATAGTTTACTTTCGCAACACGAAAATGACTATCGCAACGCGGAAATGGCTATCGCAATGTGAAATGAAAATCGCAACGACAAAATCGCAACGCGAAATGAAATAGCAACGACAAAATCGCAACGCGAAATGAAAATCGCAATGCAATTTGTGTTTCGCGTTGCGATTTTGTCGTTGCGATTTCATTTCGCGTTGCGATTTTGTCGTTGCGATTTTCATTTCGCATTGCGATAGCCATTTCCGCGTTGCGATAGTCATTTCGCGTTGCGATTTTAAGTTTCGTGTTGCGAAAGTAAACTATTCTTCTTCTGGAATGTTTATATATGTTGTCCTTTTAAATGTTTATATAAGTGCTTACTTCTGGAATGTTATCTGAGCATTTTGTGAACTATGATAGAATAATGATTTGGGTGAATACAATGCTAGTTTGAAACATATTTGTCTTTGTTTAATATCATGTCTGTTTATTTACTGATTTATGTATTAATTTTTTTAGCGGCCCGATAAGGTGGATGCTTTACGTCGGGTTTTCCTTGCATGACGGAGTTCACGCATCAGACGGCGTGGACGTGCTATTACGTCTCCGTTCACCCCAATGGTGCGAAGACTCCGCAAGAAGAAGCCCGACTCACCGGTCATCCCTCAAGAGTCCCCTCCAATCGTTCAAGAGGCCCCTATTCTCCCTCAAGATTCCCCCCCCCACCGTTCAAGAGGCCACTGTCATCGTTGAAGAGGTCCCTCCCACCATTCTAGAGCCCGATTCACATGGGGTAATATATCGAAGTATTGAGAAACCCCCACCGGTTCCGGACATGATGGATGAGAGTTGGCTCTCGTATGAGTTACCGGCTAGTACCCTTCCGGTATCTGAAGTGGAGAGGAGACAACTACCGGAAACAATTGTGGATAATACCCTTTGGGCTAAGACCGCAGTTGATTTTTATCTACATGAGCGGAGCCAAGGGTGTTACACTGACATCAGCAAACTCAACGATGAAATGTTTTTGTTGCTTGATCGGTCTTGGTGGGGTGTGCTATTAGGGGTTGAAGACAGTGGCTATTTGGATGGGGAGGTAAGTCTTATATTTTTCTTATATATGATTTTGATTAATTTGTTTAAAAATTAATGTAATTCACTAATATATGTATTTTTTTTGTAAAACAGCATATCGATGCGTGGGTGTCACGTCTACTAATAATAAGGAAGCTTAGGAAAAATAAAAAAAAATCGTTATATACAATAATGCCGACGGCTTTTCACGCAGTTCACTTGAAGAATCAACGAGATGAATCATTTTTGTTGGGCAATGGACAAGCTAAACTTTATCCTACATGGTGGGAGGTCGATAAGGTTAGTGTTTATTTTTTAAATTTTTTAAAGGTGTTCATAAATAAGTGCGCAAATAAATGAATTATTACTTATGATCGCAGGTGTTTATCCCTGTTTTGGAACGTCATCACTGGCTTCTCGTCCAACTTCAGCTCCCATCCCTGAAGATAATAGTGTATGACAGCATGATCAATTACATATCACTGTCTGATTTGAGAGATATTTTCAAGGGATGGAGCTCTCATTTGGCTAAATTCTTGGATGGGATTAAGTATTGGAGTCATTCTGGACACAAGAAGCCAAAGAAGTTCAATGTCACAGTTGTTAGAGACGAGACCGCGCCACAGCAATCGCCGGGAGCCAGAGGGGATTGTGGTCCTCTCGTATGCCTTTGCTTGGCGCGTTTGACGACGGGAAGCACAGAGTTTTTACCTCCCACCGATAGAGATAGAGCTGCAGTAGGCTTGTGGTTTCGGCATTATATGGCTAGAGCAGTATATTCGAGACGCTGCCTACCTGCATCCGCGTTATGAAAGTGTCCATTGTTAATTGGTAAGTCAAATGCAAGTTTTGTTAACATATATACTCCTTTTGGTTTGAAAATGTTTGGTTAAGTACCTAGAATTCAATAATTTGCTGTTTGTAGGTTTTAGATGTGTAGGAAGTCTTGTTTGAGCAAATGTTTGGTTTCTGCAGGTTAATCCTTAAGTGAGCTGCGTGAAATGGATGTACGGGGTCACAAATTTGTTGATTCATTGATTCAATAATTGATGAAGAAATAAGAATTATTATTATTTTTTGATTGTTTAATTGATTTGTAAAAGATGATTTGTAAATGTTGATTTGTTTAATTGATGTGTACATAATTTGTGTTGAAATGTAATAGTTGATTT